AGACATTAGGAAATCAGGCAAAGTATAAAGTGAGTGATAGGATTAGACATTTTCAACAGGGTTTAGGTTGAATATATAATCTTAGGCAGAAACAAATGTGTAGTCACCAATCCAATTGACATTTGAGAGCATTAGGCAACCTGGACAATGATGTTTTGAGTAATCCATGCTCACATTCCAATTAGGCTTTGGTACAATCATAAGTGTGACCTTTGCATTTTGTGTCCAGAATATCACTGTGATACAATGTATATGTAGATCAGGTGACATGAGTATTTCTTCCACCATTTTTAAGAGCATTATGTTGAAGATGTATGAATTAGCATTCGAGGGTACAAATAGGTGTACCCTGGGTCTATGAGTATAGAGATAATGCATGAATAGACCATACTGTGAATGAAGAATATAAATGGTTCCAATTTAAATAATGGATTGAATTGATATCTGAAAATATATAGGAAATCTTATACTGATACAGGATCATTCATTCCAACCAGTTATACATCTAATGGTAATATTGAGGTTATGGTTTACCCTGAATGGTTTGTGAGTTTTGCTTCAAAAGTGATTATGGAAATCCAAAATAATGTGTTTTGAAAGAAGTCTCATGAAAAGACCAGTCAAGAATCATCAAGGAATACATGTGTTCTGAAGCAGGATTTGATAGAAAGTGAACCAAATGCCTAGAAATTTGTGAAGTTGAGGATGAAATATATATCCTATGATGTCCATCAACTGAAGAAATAGTAATGTAGCAGTGTTGAATAAAAATGAATGTAAAAATACACATCATGTCCCACAGGCGTCTAATTGCATTGATGTTAAACAGTTCAGTTACTGTAGAAATGTTAGGATTTCTATGCACCATTCACCGAAGTTAGTTTTCAGTACTAGGAAACAATATGTATTTCAGGTGAATGAATATTTCTGAGAATAATCTTGTGAAAAGTTGATTATAAATCCACATACATGAACATGAATTTAGGGAGTGTAAAATAAGACACATATATTTTATATTTTGAAAAATCTGGAGAGTGTGTGTGTATATATACATATATATATATATACACAAAACACACACACAGACACATTAAAAAGTAGAAATATATATGCCAATTGAAATTCATCATAAAATATATATCATTTACAGATCAAAAAATATTTATTTTACTTAACATGGATTTATGTATCATGTTGTTCAAGTGGGAAGCTTACCCATAGGTTGATTTTCAGTTCCAACAGCATTTAGGAGGAGTGATTTCTTCTCACAGTTTGTATCTGCCAAGTCAGCCACCTCACAAGAATGTAGCTGGGAAACCAGGTAGGATTCT